CTTGAGGGTGCTTGACCATATTTACACAACGTGGTGCGATAATCCCCCTTGCGCGGAGTGAGGGTTTTCCACCCCGCACAACATGATATCACTCGACCACCATTATGGTTACCGCCAAAAAAAAGAGACAAAACCCCCCCCGGTATACTGGTTGCCGAGTTCACGAGGTGAATTGGCTTGTTTCACAACGTCGTTGCCAAGCGACAAAAACCCAACCCCGATGGTAAACACCGAGGGGGGGGGTGTACTCATAGTCGTGCATGCCGTAGTCGTTAGACCATTGACCTCGCATCCCTACAAAGCCGGGACGGAGCACGCCGGGTTCTCACCGGACCAGGCTCTCACATCACCAAGCGCGAAGCGCCGTGAGATATTCGGCGAGTCGCATGAAGGGTGCGCTGCATCCTGCTAAGGGTGTTCGCCATCTTGTGCTTACTTCCTTGCATACGGATGACAGCTGCGTATGACTTAATGTATTTTCTGGTGCTTCACAACCAGAGACAGTTGTAAGCACTGGGTAACTGCCTCGAGGGTGCTTGACCATATTTACACAACGTGGTGCGATCATCCCCCTTGCACGGAGTGAGGGTTTTCGACCCCGCAGAACATGATCTACTCGAGCACCATTATGGTTACCGCCAAAAAAGAAAAACCGGAGGTAAAAACAAAAAACGGTAACCTGGTTGCCGAGTTCACGAAGTGAATTGGCTTGTCTTGCAACGTCTTTGCCAAGCGGCGAAAACCCAACCCCAATGGCAAACACCGAGGGGGGGGCTGGGGGGGGTGGGCTACAGTACTACGATGGTAGCCAAAAACATTTACAACTTCCGGTAGCAACTGCGATGAAACGCAATGACTGAGACACCGCGCTGGCGTGATTCCGAACGCTCTTTCCTGACCTGCTCTCAATCCTCGAGCCTATTCTTCATTGTCGCACAGTCCTCCTGGATATGTCGCAGATAGTCGTGCACCCATGGACATAGATAGTAAACGGATGGGTGCACACTCACAACGTGCGCTGAAGGCGGCCCACGCTGACGATGAGCTCAGGCGGAATCACAGACCACTTTTGTTTGGACAGCATGACCTCGTTCTTCTCCACCTGGATGGGGCATGAGAGCGTGGCAAACGTTGCCTCAGGCACTCGTTTGTGGGAGAATTCCACCGGTACCTGTAGGTAGGCGGGATCTATCCTCATCACTCGGTGCACAACCGGTCGAACCGGTCACGAGAGGAAGACTCGGCGTTTGTACATCCCCAAGACTAAGGTGAGCCATTTTGAAAGCCAAGAAAAGTGTAACGGTCACCGAAAGAAGGGTAAGCTGAACGTGAGGCAAAAAACAAAGTGATCTCGTTTTCGTAAACTGTTCGTACCTTCAAGCGCTCCAGGCACGGTGTGTCGGAGTTATCGTTCCTCTTCTGGATCGTCTGCTCTCGCCGTCGCATATAACACAATACAACATCGTGTCGCACAGGGCCGGGCAACGTCATTGATGGGTTGAAGGTGTTCACACATTAGCGCATTATACATTCAGTGGATGGGCGCACAAATTGACGAATCGAGTGCAACATTCGTTGCTTGCACCACTCGCCCAAAACGGTGACGTCTTCTATTTGCCAAGCAAACAAAGTTAAACGCGGTTTCCCGCATGAAAATGTGTGCATGATGGCTTTTTTCTGTGTGTACGTCCTCTGCTGTCCATCCCTCTTTAGGTAGTTACTGGTACGCGGAGGAAGCATTTCCTCGCATGGCTTGCGATCCATTCCAATACTCACACTGCACCTCTTGCGACTTTCCAGCAGATATAAACGCCTATCCGTCCCCTTTTTACATCCCCGTGACCGGGGGAAATACGGTATGAGCTGGCGGAGGGCACGATAATTGACCACGCTCGACCAAAGGCACCAAAATCGCCATGCGGGGATTAAAACAGTGCTTCGAATGCCCACGAACGTACACGCACTCCCTCACATTCTCCACGAGCTTCAAAACGTCCCAGCACGCGCTCGGTTGGGCGGGATTGGCCGCCGTGCCCTTCCCATTCCTCTCTTGCGGCCCTTCTTCGCTTTGACACCTGCTGATGATGGCTGAAGTCCATGGATGGACATCTGGAACACCCAGCAAGGGTATTTATCTCCCCCGTATGTTCTCCGGGATGGTCCGGCGCATTGAGCAGTCCACGCGGCCAGATGGGTCGTTCTTTGTCGCCGTTGGCGACTTAGGGCGAAAAAACGGAGCGGTACGGGTCAAGGATGGGAAAAACCAACAACAATCTCGAAATTCGACAGCGAACCGCTACGAAGGTCTGGATGCGTCACCCTCACAATTGAGAATCTTTTGTACCTCGATAGCATCAAACGTTTCTATGCAAGATAAACATGTGACCGATTATCGGAAAATAACAGCAACAATATTGGCATTACATGCCCTCCGAAAAGTATCGTTTCAGTCTACTATGCATGCAGTACAGTTATGATAGAGCGAACCGACAAAACAAAATCAACTTTCATCGCCCGGGGGTTCCGCAAAATGATGTGCTCTCGCTCCGTTGTGTGGAGCTGATAGCGATGGGATCTCGCGCGGCGCGGAATGAAAAAAGGGAAGCGAGGGACGAGGGATAATGTAGCACTCAAACAGGATTTCTACGGGCAAGCTCAAGAACACAAATATGACAGCATCGCTAGCCTCAGGGAGTAGGGTACATGAACGGTATGATCAACATGTATTTCCAAAATAATAGGTGTCGAGGCCGATTGTCCTAGTCCCTTGATCCCTCCATGAAATCTGCGATGGAATCGTCACCACGGTGTGCTCCAATCACTGCGGAGGAAAAATGCTCCTAGCTTTTCCAACTCAGATGTTTCCGCAGGAAGGGCTGTCATGTGTCCAACAATTGGACTTCGCATGACCGCCGAAGGCGCATTTTGAGGAGAGGCAGCAGTTAATGGAGTGATCCACACAATCCCAAATGCACTAGGCTTTATGGCTAAGGTTTAGTCCACCAAAATATTGTTCGCAGTAGCACCACATTTGTTTCCAGTCTCACGTGGCACATTTGGCAGGAGGTCCGCGTTTCCATCTGTCCTCTCGCAGAATTCATCAGCGAAGATTGTGACTGGGCGGATGAGAAAAATGTAGGAGATCAACGGTCGCCAAATATGTGATGTGTGGGGAAGACATGACGGGGCTGGGCTGGACTGTTCAATAGCGACGGCGAGAACCAGGTTCAGGGCGAGGAACTCTTAACATTGACCCCCCGCATACTCGGAAACGACAACGGATGAGCGTACTGCCGGCGAAACCACTCCGCAGCTAGCTGAAAACTGTGGCTAACTTGGCACCTAACTGATCATTGTTTGGTACACGTCCACCTAGCCTCCACTTCTAACGCACGTATCCTCAAAATGAAGTTCGTTCCCAGCCTTGAACCACAATTTAGTTATTGGCGGGTCGTTGGGGGCCTCTGCTGCCAGTCCTGGTCTCAGCGGTGTTTCTGCGCCAGTGCCATGTACAGGCCGGAATCCGCAAGTATCGTTCTCATGCCCACCGGTCGGCCCAATATTCTCGTCACTTTTAGTTGAATTCCTCACCTTCGCGTCCATCGTCTCGCTGTGGGCCTTGTCGAGGATGGTGCCAATCGTGTTGGCAAGGTCGTCCTGTTCTCCATCTTGGACCTGCGACTCAGACAATAACATGATGGCCAGTACACGGGGTCGGCAGAACAGAAACATGGTCACTTTCGGAGCCCGTGGGGAGTTGGGGTTTCGGGGATGGAACAGACCATTGCTTGGCGGCGATGATTTCATTGCCATTGAGATGGCTCCACACCTGTGTGGCATGCAAGCAAATGAGTCCAACGCGCTCCCTTGACAAGGTTGCTTGTTGCGCGGCATCGGCTGAAGCCCGCTGTACAGGACAGCTGCAGTTCCCACATGTCATTACGTTCGGTTTGAGTCTCTCGCTCACCCACAACCACCTGCAATCACCGTTTATGTCAGAAACATCCAATCACCGTGTTTCCAGGCATATTCTTATAATAGGCATGTTCACGCAAGTTGTTGCCGTGCGGCGATGAACTATAGAAAGCGATTCACGAAACGAAATACTTCTGAATGCGACGTTGAACGATGCACATACATTAATCTATCGCATGGCAGTCTACGGGATGCGTTTGGCCTCGAGTATCGCTCTACTTGCCATGCCTCCGTTTAAGACGTTGAAAAAAGTCCCAATGAGCTCCGTCGGGTTCAGCGGGCTAGCGGTGCCCCCGGACTCGTGCAGGGCTTGAAGCACCCAAATTTCAGCGCATCGGAGAGCGTGCGTGAGCGACACGGAGTGCGGTTCACAAGCAGTTTAAATCCTAGATGTAGAGGGGTTTGTTTTGCTGGTGTTTGACGTGTGTCTTCCACAAGAAATCGAATGCGAGTAGTACTACAGTATTATAGCCAATGTCATCACCCAGATAAGAAGCGCAAGCAGTGTTGCACCCCACAGTGATCAACGCGCGTCTAGTTTGACATGGTTTTCAATGTGCGTTTTACCCTCTCACCCCGCATCGTCCTCGAGACCGCCCAGGTCAGCTCCTTTCCTGGCATTGGATATGGAGACGGTGAACGGGGTGCAACAAGGAAGGAATGTGAGAAATATCTGGACACGAGATACGAACGATGGGGTAATCTGATCTTTGTCCACGCTGGAGTGTACGCCCCCGTCCAGCTACATGCAACACCTTTTTTTTACAGGATTTTCTTTTCATCTGTGCCGAACAACACGTAGCACCGATCTGCACTCATCGACTGTTCAATACCCCGAAAAAAAATATCGTTCTTCGGTGGATAAACATTGGCACCTCTACGCGAGTGGCGCGAGCTCGTCTTGAGCGTTATGTACTCACCCCTCGGAGGTGAAGGTTTGGTCGCGTCTTGAAAGTTGAGAATTGCGGCATGGCATATTGGCAATGCCCTGATCATCTGAATTGTCGAAATCAAGAAGCAATCATTCTCACGGTTGATCATTCCCCTGAGGAACACCTCGATGGACAGTGGCAGGCAGCACGATCGATGGACATTGTGGTGAGACGTGCTGCGTGTTATCAGGAGTGCACTCCCCCCCCCCCGCGCCGGTCTCCCACACGTTCTGCAGTTTGCTAAATTGCCCATCGGTGCCCCATCGGCTGCCGATGGGCACATGGGACATCCATGGGCTGCCCATGGCAAAATGCCCACGGGCAAGCCCATGGGTAGCCCGTGGGCAGCCCATGGGCGGCTCATGGACTATCAATGAGTGCCCTTCAACCGGAACCAGGGTACTCCGAAGCACTAGATTCTCTGCTGTGGAAGGGGCATTTAATTGGCGATGAAGCCTAACGCTATCCCTAACCCAAACCCCTCACGATACGCGCTAGGTTGGCGTTGGGTGGCAAAGTTCTAGCTTGATGTACCGGTGGCTAAGTTCTAGGTTGACATGCCGATGGCGAAGTTCTAGGGCTAAGTGCCCACTCGTGGGCAGGTCATAGGCTGCCCATGGGTGCCCCATTGCCGTTTTGGCAAAACTGCCAGTAGTCCGGGAGATTGCCCCGCGCACACCGCATAAATTTCAGCATACCCGCCGTGTTGTCAGCTGTTGAGACAAGGTCTACACGTTTTACACTGGTCGTCTCACCGGTGGTTGGGGATGATCCGAGGAACTGAAGGCGCTCCAGGCTAGGATTTTTCATCCGGAGGAGGCTGTTGAAATGCAACCATGGGAGCGCTATGTGGTTGAGGAGTATGTTAATGGCATAGGCTTCGACTTCCATCAGTTACCAGGATCTCAAGATGTGCCCGAAATGCATACGATGCTGCGCCTCGTGATGGTCTAAGCGGTACGTGTATCGCGAAACAAAGACGTTGAATAGAGTTTCCCCGAACTGTTTTTCCCCAAGCACATGGGCGCGTGTGTATACGACGTGGACATGATGAACAGCGTTGTCTCCGGCGCTATGGACAACACGACGGCCAAACCAATGCAATGACCAAAACGGGACAAAGAACGCCCTGAGATACAGGGAACCAAAGTACCCGTCAAGCCGAGTCAATACCTAGCGACAGGACGGTTGACCAAGTTCCCATGACCCCACGTCAATGCGTCCGAACTGAAACGGATAGGAAAACCATTCCACCACACCCGAACTATTGCAAACTCTGCTTCTCGCCCTCCCCCGGCCAACCTGACCATGCATTCATGTATTCAACGCCTGAGAACACGACCATGATGAAGAAGCGCACACGTATGCCAAGTCACCAACGGCGGGGACAGGCATGATGGGTGTGGGGATGAGGGGGNCCAAGTCACCAACGGCGGGTACAGGCATGATGGTTGTGGGGATGAGGGGGGGGGGTTAAGTACATATCGGTTGCCGAGCGATCTCTCTAAACCCATCGTGGTTGACTCGCGCATGCACGAACGTTTGTTTCCGGCAGGTTGTTGTATAGCACTCCCCCGCGCTACGATAGCACTGCTGTATTGTACTCGAGGCTTCGGTTGTGGATATCCACGGTGGATCTTCACATAGGATAGGAGGCATCTCTTTGCGCATAAAAAAACACGTGCCTGTAGTTGAGGCACCGAAGCAATATGGGAACAATGAACGCTCGTTCGACGCATCGCTAATGGCAGAAGTGTGCAGGGGTGGGGCAGGTGTGCGTCGAAAAATCCAGTCTGAAGCAAGATGAAAGTGATGGGAACGGCCAGGTGCGGCAGCGAGACTACCTCGAGGATGACGCTGTTGCCGTTGCCGTTGCTGCCGCTGCCGCTGCCGCGACTGGTGCTGCCGCTCCCTCTGTTCTTCCAGCTTCCTTCGCTGCTTCTGCTTTCGCTTCCGCTTTTGCTTTCGCTTCCCCTTCTGCTTCTGCTGCTGCTGCTGCTGCTGCTGCTGCTGCTGCTGCTGCTGCTGCTGCTACTGCCTTGACTGCCTTTGCTGCCTTGGCTGCCTTTGCCGTTTTTGCTGCCTTTGCTGCCTGTGCTGCCTTTGCGGCCTTTGCTGCCTTGGCTGCCTTTGCTACCTTGGCTGCCTTGGCTGCTGCCGCCCCCTTGACTGCCTTTGCAGCTGGTTATTCCGCTGCTGCCGTTTCTGCCGCCGCTGCTGCTTCGGCCTCTACTTTCGCTGCTGCTAGTACTAGTACTACTGCCACTACTACTACTGCTGCTGCTGCTTCTGCTGCAGCCTTTGCTGCTGCTTCTGCTTTTGCTTCTGCTGTTGCTTTTGCTGCTGCTTCTGCTTCTGCTTCTGCTGCAGCTGCTTCTTCTGCTGCTGCTTTTGCTTCTGCCGCCGCCGCTGCTGCTTCTGCTGCCGTGGCTTGCTCTGTCGCTGCGGCCTGCTTTGATGTTTCGGCTTCCTCTGCCTCTGCTCCTGATCCATCGGTGAACCGAGCGACCTAACGTCGGATGTCGAGTTGGTTGACCACAGGGGGGGGG